GAGAGAGTATCTTAAGCAGGCTCCACACCCAGCGCAGAGCCCAATGCAGGGCTCGATCCCAGGACCTTGAAATCATGACCTGAGCCAAAATCAAGAGCTGGACACTTAGCCAACTGAGTCACCCAGGCACCCCAACGATTGTACGTTTTTAAAATTCACACTTACATGTGCTTTGGTGGCCTATGCACAGTATTAACTGAGGTTATCTAGGAATAGTGCCCTAAATTTTTGTGACACATCATCTGATTGAAGGCTTACCATCCCGAGTAGCTAAAACTACAAATCTTCTCATTGAAAAGATCCCAGGATACCACCTGGGTCAGTGTTTCTCAAAATGGGATTTGGAGACTCCAGGAACCCAAGGCCATTCTTGGGGTTTTGGGACCTATCTCTGAGGACTTTTGTTTTATCTTTCCATTCTGATGCTTTTTGATTTCAGTGTCCAAGTTTGCATTTTCATTGCCAGCCACATCTAGGCCAAGTAAACTCTTAAACTCATAGCATTTAACTTTTAATCTCGTTCCGTAAACTGGGGCGTGAGGATCTCTGAGGATCATTCAGGTTGCAGGCGTCCATTCCCCACCAAGTTCTGGGCTGGGGCACAGGAAACACAGCAATCTGAAATATCGTTTCTGTGGGGCAAGGATGACTAGGTGGAGCAAAGCGGATCTTTAGGGCAGTGAAACTACTTTGTATGACACTATACTAGTGGATACATGGCATTATACATTTGGCAAAGCCCATAGAACATACAACACCAAGAGCAAACCCTAATGTAGGCTATAGACTTTGGGTGATGATGTGTCAATGTAGGTTCATCAACTGTTGCAGATGCATTACTGCTGTGAGGGATGTTGATAGTGGGGAAGGTTGGGCATCTGTGGAGATGGGGTAGTCTCTAGAAATTCTCTGTGTCTTCTCAGTTTTGTTGTGAACCGTTTTATGCTCTAAAAACTCTATTAAAACAAAATTTGAAAAAATCATTTCTCATTCATTGTTTAAAACATCTTTTTCAGCTTAAGGGGATAGTGTATTTAATACTAGATGGGGGGGCACCTTGGTGGCTCAGTCAGTTAAGCATCTGCAGCTCAGGTTGTGATCCCAGGGTCCTGGGATCAAGCCCCGAGGTGGGCTCCCTGCTCAGCAGAAAGTCTGCTTCTCCTTCTTTCTCTCTCTCTTTTTCTCACTCTCTCTCTCTCAAATAAATAAATAAAATCTTTTAAAAAAAAGTATTGGATGGGGGTTAAGTAGCATGTAGTGGTTAAGAGTATACCCTCTAGGGGCACCTTGGTGGCTCAGTTGGTTAAGCGTCTGCCTTCAGCTCAGGGTCCTGGGATTGAGTCTGTCATCAGGATCCCTGCTCATCAGGAAGTCTGCTTCTCCTCTCCCTTTCCCCTTCCCTGCTTGTGTTCTCTCTCTCTCGCTCATTCTCTCCCTCAAATAAATAAATAAAATCTTTAAAAAAAAAGAGAGAGAGTGTACCCTCTAGCCAGACCCCTAAGGCTGCCACTCGTCAGCTGTGTGACCTTGGATAAATTACTTAACTTCTCTGCGCCTCATTTTTCCCCATCTGTAAAATGGAATAACATAATTTCTGTCTCTAAGGTTCTTTTAAGGATGAAATGAGTTAATACCTGCAAAGTACATAATGAACATTGAATGCTCATTAAGTGTGCCTATGCCAATTGTTTTAAAAATATTTGCTAGGCAGCACATTTTTAAAAGTCAATTATCATTGCAAGAAAGGTCAACAAATTTGGAAACTGCCTTTCTATAAAAGAAGATCAGGTAGTTTGTTTTGTTTTGTTTTAATTTGACGTCTGTTTTATATACTTTCCACCAGTTAACCAGTGAACCTCTGCATGGTACAAAACATGTACATGGTCATAGCCCATTTCATGTTAAAACATTGTTGGGGCATCTGGGTGGGCACAGTCAGTTAAGCGTCCAACTCTTGGTTTCGGCTCAGGTTGTGATCTCAGGGTCGTGAGATTGAGCCCTGAGTCGGGGTCTGCACTCAGCGTGGAGTCTGCTGGAGATTCTCTCTCCCTCTCCCTCTGCCCCTCCCTGTGACACGCATGCGCATGCATGTGCACCGTCTCGCAAATAAATAAATCTTAAAAAAAAAAAAAAAAGTTGCTACAAAGATCACAAATAATCCCCTCTTTCTGTGCACCATTTTTGAGGTGTGGCCATGACACAGAGAACAAGCAAGGGCACCAGGTCCATCTCTGTACTATGCAGCTATTTTTTTCCTTTTTTTAAGAAAAGGTAAGAATAACCAGAAATACAAGCTCTGATCATTTCCTTCCTATTCTCCACTCACTCGCCCTATTTCAGAGACCACTGCCTGACAGTGGGGGACAAACTAATGTGCCTAAAACTTCATCTTGGCCTTCAGTCTGTATTCACGATCATAGATTGCCACTGTTTTTCCCATTTTCCACCTCTTCCCACAGCAAATTGTTTAGATGGGGGAAAACATAATTTTTTTTTAACATCCAACCACATAGTAGTTACAAGACAGAAAATGTGCCCCTTTCAGTATAAAGATAAGGAAATGGCAGAATGGCGAGCCTGCCTCCATTTCTTGCTTTTTCATTCTTTTCATTTCGTTGTTCTGTTTTTACCAACAGTGGGATCTTTCTGTGCCTGCACGAGTTCTAACAACAACACCTACTGGTGTTTGCGTACAGTTAACGAGACGCATAATTTTCTTTTCTGTGAGTTCGCCACTGGCTTTTTGGAGTATTTTGATATGAACACAGATCCTTATCAGGTAAGTCGATACATTTTCGTGTAATGAAGTTTGTTGACAATAAACTAGCCAGAACCTGAGCTTACCTTTCCTGTCCTGGCCTCTTGGTCCGCAGCTCACAAACACAGTGCACACGGTGGAACGGGGCATTTTGAATCAGCTACACGTACAACTCATGGAGCTCAGGAGCTGTCAAGGATACAAACAGTGCAACCCAAGACCGAAGGGCCTGGAAGTTGGTAAGGGCCGGGCGGGGGGGGTTCCTGTATTTCCTGGTAAATTCTGTATGTCGAGTTTTCTGCCTGTGAAACGTCTCTAGGCATAGATGCACAGAGTTTAGGATACTTACGGGGGAGACTTTCCAGGCTGTTCTGAACATAATGTGTTCTCAAAGTTTACCTCTGGGAGCATTAATGAAAAAGCTAACGCGCCCAAAGATTTGGTGAGCATTTTATTTCAGTTTCTCCCCCACGTTTGTTCTACTAGTAAAGCTTCCTGAATGAAGCATCCACTGGCAGGTGGGACGAAAGCATGGGGGATTTATTTGTCATCGCTGCCAACAGGCATAATATAGACTCTAGGTAAACTGGGATATCCTCACATTTTTAGGTGATTTTGGACGGAAACACCCAATGCCCTGTTTCTGTTTATCACAGTTGGGAGCTGCCCCAGGGGGATCCCTGCCCCGGACACAGGCAATTAGATTTCTTTTACCAGGATTTCCCCTCTGAAACTAGAGATACTTGAGTAATGCACTGTCTTGGGCTCTAACAAGCATTAGAGGGCCCATATGGAGTCAGCCAAATGTTCCCTCCCCGAGCTGCCGCGTTTAACTTATCTCTCCTTTGGTTCATAGGGCCGCAGTTCTTTTCAGTCTGTCCCTGCCCTTTCCTAGTTGATGAGAATACTGATTTTCTCCTAATTCCGGTAGAACTGTAAATTCCAGCAGTCCACAGAAGGAAGGAGAAAGAGCTAGCTCTGGCAAGGGCATGGGCATCAGCAGAGCCTGCCAACCCCAAAAGGGCAAAGAGCGGGACTCCCCAGCAGTGGGGAGCGCTCTGCAGGAACCCCTTGTGTGCAGCTGGGCTTTCTCAGCATCCTTAAAGCCGGTGTCTCAGGGTCCCCAGCAGAGCCAGCATCACCAGCACTGGGTCATGTGACTGGAAGGGGGGCCCATTCCCAAAAGATCAACATCCGCCACCTGTCATCTCCACCATTGTAGGGTCCTGAGGCTTTCGAGCAGCAAAGGTCCCATAAGAAATTATAAACCCTGTGAGAGGGGTCACCTCACAGCTATCAGCCAACACTTCTCAGTTAACACCTTACTCAGATGAATGGCCCGCAGAAAAGTCCAGTCTGACAACCCCACTCAGCTCAAATCTTTTCAGATTATCTTGCTTCTCTGTTTGAGCTTTTCCTCAAATCTTAGCCCTCCACACCCCAAAAAGGGGAGGGGGGAGGAAGCCCAATAAGGCCTAGAAATTAAACCAGTTACTAGAAACACTAGAAATATTACACCCAGACATTTCTCCCCCAAAAGACCTCGCTCTCTTACAGGTGATGACGTAACTGCCCAGAGAAGTCTGACAGTCTCTTGGGATGACACACCAGGGGGAGCTCGTGATTGCTGTTCGGCCCAAAGTAGTCCTCTCCACCTTCTAGACGATTCCTCAGGGAGATGATCATTGGCCCTTTTTTTTTCCCAAGTGTCTTGTCTCAAAATAACCAACACTGTACTGAGACTGACTGGAAGGACTTCTCTTCCTGCTCTTAAATGGGCTCTCCTCCTTTCCCATTGCACTCGTGTTTCAAATGAACTCTTCTGCATTTTATCTCAGACCTTTTTATTTATAGCTTTCAATCCTCATTTTGAGCCTGTCTACTAGAAAAGCTCTGTGGGACTCCGGCACTGTCTGTATTTAACACAATCTATTTCTTTCTAGGATTTAGATGTTATGCATGGAAAACCACGTAGTGAATGGTTTTATGAGTTCTAAAGCTAACATAAATTACTCTTGTATTTTCCTATATCAGGAAATAAAGATGGAGGAAGCTATGACCTACACAGGTATTCACACTTTTTTATTCTCCCCCCGCAGCTTCTTTTCCCAATAATTGCATGATCCAGCCATTTCAACTAATTTCCGTTTCTCACCATGTTGCACAGAGCATAGTGTGGGGTGCATGCATGTGCTAACAGCATTCTCCTCCAGATTGTGTCCTTGGTTGCAGATCTGTCATTTTGCTTTAAATCAGCTGACTGTCACTGCAGGATGTCTCTCAGAGCATTTACTCCATGTGTGTTTGCTCATTAGATGATGCTTTTAAGCATGGAATGATGTGAAAGGGGAAAAAAAAAAAACCCAGAATGACCTTTGGGAGCCCTGGGGAGAGGTTGGGAGAATGATTTCCCTTGTGGTGCTTACACGTTGATTTGCTGGAGAGGCTTCATGGAAACTAGTTCGAGATTTTTATGAAATATAATGTCAAAGACCCAAAAGGAGTAATGGGAATTTCAAGAGCATTCTGAAGCTGAAGTTGGAGGAAATAGGTGCTTCCTTGTTAAGAGTCCTTAATTAACTTGGGTGGGGAAAAGCAGCAGTGATAAGGATTCAGAAGGCTCTGCAGGGTGGTGGTTGGTGAGGAGAAGGCGCTGGGGCCGGGGACAGAGAGGTCCTTGCATTAGCACAGAGATGAGACCGCCTGACACGCCCAAACTTCATAAACAGGCCTCAGCCCAGCCATCTTGTTTCCTCTGACCCCCACCCATCCCTCCTCTCTCATCGTGTTCTGGAGGTGGGCACCCACACACCTGGCATCGTCAGCCCTTGATAATTTTCCACTCTGAGCGCAGACCTCAGGTGGGTTTGTCAGAAACGTGCCGTGTGGGACAGAAGGGGACTGACCTTACCACCTCTATGGTGGGGAAACTGAGGCACGACGTGTCGGCACCCTCGCTGACGAATCCATCAAAGGAACATGGACTTCCTTGGTGCCATGCCAGGGCACCCTGTCTGCCCCACCGCCTCCCCTCCAGCCTCCTGAGCTCTAGTCTTAGATTCCCCCTTTACCAGGGCAGCTCACTGGTCTGACCAGAAGCTAAACAACTGGAAAGGTGAGGGGTGGGAGGAGGGGAGATGTAAACAACTAACAAAACAAAGAAAGCTGGGCTTTTGAGGATCCTTAATAACCATGTATGTATCTCTTCTTTTTCTCTTCTCTCTGTCTTCTTTCCTTTCCTGGCTCTGCCCCCACCCCGACCCCACATCACCCCCAGCACACATAGGACAGAGCAGAAGAACCCACTCTTAAGCTGGTCTCACCCGGGATATGGGCTGACGAGGTAATATCCCACACACAGGCACTCCTTCGCCTGCCCCCCAGGGGCCACATTAAGACCTTTCCAAAGCGTGACACTTTAAACGGACCTAACACTAAATACTGACTTTACAGTTATTTTATGATGCACTCAATTTTACAGCGAAGGGATTTTCAGTCGAGCTTTCTTTTGCTCCCTGTCCTGGAGGTAAAAGGCTATGAACAGGCGACTTAAGACTTAAGAGCTGAGTCAGAGAGCTCTTCTCCATCCAGTCATCCCCGGACAACTTTGAGATGAGGGATGTGGAACCGCACTCCGGTCATAAATAAGTGGCAGACATCTGGGACTCCTCCTTCTCCCTTCCCTGCCACCACCACTAAATCCATCACCCTTCAGGTCCTTTGTCACAGCCTTGGTGACTCGTTATTGATGGGTCGCCTGTCTGAGAACGTGGCTGTGGGTGAAGGTGACAGAGTGTTTCCTGTCGCCTTCCTCTTCCCCCCCCCCCCGGAATTCTTTACCAAAGGACAAATCTAAGGATACTCTATAACTCAGAATGACTGGCATTTTGGGGTCCCACCGTTTTGTAAGGCAGGGAGCAAGCTGACTTTCAGCGGGTAGCCACGCTGCAGGCAGGAAATCATGAAACAGGGTTACTGAGAGAGTGTCCGCCTGTCACAGCCGGGGGCTCTCGGGATACCCAAAAGCGGTGTTTGACATGGCCTCACCTGCTCGCGGTGTCCCGGTGGACTGAAAGGGGACAGATGTCAGACAAGCCACTGTCTACGTGGACCTGCTGAAACACCCGTCTCCAGATGGTGTCTGCGGGTACACGCCCTCCAGTGACAGCACTCCTGACAGGCTTCCTCAGAAGCCCGCATTCTTCAAGAAGATTCTGATTTTTTATTTTTGTTTTTATTTTTTGGAAAACTAATCAAATGCATTTTTAATCATAAAATTCCACTATAAAGGACTTTGAGAAAACTGGTTAGCGACCAAACCTGAAGAATTTGAAATTTGAGAATTCAGCTGAGTGTTTCAGAAGCATTCACCTTGCTTGATTGACTACATAATAGCTTTAACTGCCTTCCATTTTTGGGTTTTGAAAAATTCATCTTTAGATTCGTTTAAATGGGCTTCGAAAAGCAAGTCTGTTCCTTGTTCAACTTCGTTACTTATTTTATTTCTTGATGGGGCTGTGGCCAGTGCCTGAGGCCAGGCCCCCTGAGAGGCTCGGTGGACTCAGCCCGGTCATTTTCCAGTTAGGACAAGCACAGAGTAAGGGCACCGCTCAGAAAGTAACCCCCATGACTCAGGAGATCATTTTTGGCTCGAGTTGAAAGCAGTCATTTCTGTGTTGCAAAATAGAATGGGATCAACAGGTTGAGGGGGTGTTTCTTTTTCCCATTGCTTAGGAAAACTGACGTTGCTGCCCTTTGATGTCCCGGAAATGCTCCTGGCAGGCATGGGGTGCGTCCAGCGGCTGTGCGGGGCAGACGGGGGGCTCTGGGTGGCCTCGTGCTAGCTGCTCCCTGGACCCTGGGGTGCCACACCCTGGAGACCAGCAGGCCACACTGTGCTTCACCCTCAGCAGCCACGCTTCTGCGCACCTTGCTTTTGCATGTTTTGATTCATCTTCCCTGCGGCGACAGCTCATGCCTTGCAGATGGATGTAGGTGAGCTAGCTGTGTGTTAGAGCCTGATTAGTAGCCAGTCTGCCTTGGGTTCAAGTCCTGCCTTGCTTAGTAAGTAGATGAGAATGGAAGCCCCAGTAATGACGAGTCTTATTAGTAAGGTGTACATGGGACGCAAAACGTTAACATGAAGGAAAGAGTACTTGAAAGGGAATAGTGACATCATAATTCCAAAGAATGTTCCTATATTTTATAAGAGACACAAAAAGAGATACTCATCAGCACC